GTGTGTGTGTGTGTGAGAGTGTGTGTGTGCGTGTGTAGTCACAGTTTTGTAGTGCAGCAGAGTTTCCTGCGTGGGGCTGAAGTCGGCTCTGAACTCGTCCACCAGAACAGGAAGTGAGCGGATCTGATCCGTCAGCGCCGAGGACACCTGAGGGAGAAACAGCAGGTTACCATAGAGACGTGCCACGGTCAGAGGGAGGAGGTTTGGCGCTCGCTTTGATGCGCTGATCTCAGACGCCTTCACGCAGCTAACAAGAAATCAAACTTTCACACCAGGTTGGATTCAGTTCTGGTCAAAGGACAAAAGAAGAACAGGAAGTGAAGTCACAGAGGGACCGACCTATTACAAGCATGAATGATTCCCGCCTGCCTCATCCCTGTGCTCGAGTTAGGGCTACACTGAGCAACAGTCTGCACTTTGAAGGGAGGAAATGGCGGTCTGAAACCTGGAAGTCGTCTGACTGGAGCCACCAACCTGGCAACCAAGAAAACAGGGCTGTGTGGAACAGGAAGCACCCGATAACCGAAGAAGGGAACAGGCCAAGGATCCAGTTTCTTTCATCTGTGGATTTTTCACGAGGTGTTCCTGAAGTTACATTCTTCTTTTGCGATCTGAAACCAGACCTGAAGCCACGCCCTCTGCTGGAGCATTTACCTTGGCTGTGACATCATCGCTCAGAGTCCTGATCCTCTCTTTGACGCTGGCGCTCAGACGGTTAATCTGCCCTCGAACAAAGTCCAGCCGGTCTCTCAGGTCCTCTCGCTCCTCCAGGCAGCAGATCCTGTCAGAGGTCAAAGGTCACACTGAGCCCGCCTTTGAATAAACAAAGTGAAGGTGAGAGTGTTTGGCTCACTTCCTGTCGGCAGAGGCGATGTTGATGGCGTCCATCACACCTTTGATGGCCTCTGTGATCTGCCACGCTCTCACCGTGTGCTGCTCAAACTTGGTCTTCACTGCAGACTGAGAGATGAACTCCTGTAGAGGTCAAAGGTCACACTGTCACATCCTGTCACATCGTTGTTTTTGGCAAATTAATGAATTTTTGCACGAGTTCAGACATCGAACCTCAAACGTCCTCTCAAACCTCTGGAACTCTCTCAGCCTCTCGTGGAAACCCTCAGCCAGAGCGCCCCCTGCAGCACGAGGAAGGACGATGGTTGTTTCACTTTAATAACTCTCATGATTGTGTGTGTGTGTGTGTGTGTGTGTGTGTGTGTTTCTTCTGCTCATGTGCAGCTCCACATTTTCACTCTTGGCCTCCATCAGAGCAGCTCTGCATGATTCACAAAGTAATCCTCACCTCACGTTCTAGAACCAGATGTTTTAGCTCCTCCCCCTTTGTGGGAGGCTGCCAATCACAGATAGATAGTTTGGCTGAAAAAATGTGTCATGCATTTGAAATGAGCGGATGTGAAATGAGCAGAGGCTCCTCCCACTGTCCCTCACCCGTCTCACCTGTCTCACCTGTCTCAGGCATGCCCTGTGCTCGCTGCATCCTGGCGCTCAGAACCTCTTTAGCAGAGACGAAGAAGATCCGCCCCGCGGCGTCATCCAGGCCGACCACCTTCAGCTCGTCAGCGAGGAACCCCACGCAGCGGTCCAGGTGCTGGTTCCTCACCTGGACAGCAGGGGGAGCGGTGCGTTTCTACCATAGCATCCACACCTACAGTGCAGGCGAGTGAGATGTTGTCCTGCTGCCAGCGGCTTTACTTCGATCTCAGAGAATAATTCTCCTTCCAGCCTGACTTACACCCAAGCAGGTAACAATAAAAACAGCAGCGTTTATTAGAAGGAGGACGTCTGTGCGCTGAAGCTGTGAGGTGATGCACAGGAACGGGTCACCTGCAGAGCTGCACGGCGCCGCCACACTCACACATGTCGGGTGTTGCTATCCTCGTGGGGACCTCCCACTGACATATTGCTTTCCCTAGCTGCCGACCCTAACCATCAAAAATGAATGATGAGCCTAACCCAGCTAACCATAACCGAGCTAACCATAACCCAGCTAACCATAACCCAGACACTCAACCCACATAGGAAGAACCGGAACACACACACACACACACACACACACA